TTTTTTTTTACTTCTCACGAATGTTCATTTCATTCCGAGTTCAGCATACCTCATTCCCAATTGTCTCCAAGTCAATTAAAATGTGAAATTCTCTCAATAATAAATTCTCCATTTCAAATTTTATACTAAGGCAATTAAACATATTTAGATTAAGACCGACTCTTTACAGACATTTGTAAAACTTTATTATACATTCTTACTTTTAATATGCATTAACTAAGTTTTATTTGCAATATCGATCAGCTTTCATTTTGCTGCGCCTGTCGAGCAGAGTTTCGTGTAGCAGTCCTTGGGCCTTGGCTTCCTCAAGCTCCTTTACATCGTTCTTGCTAATGCGCATCTTCTTGTCTTGGAACTTTTGAAACTTTTTGCTAGAAGAGAGTATATACGTTAGCATATTTATATATATGTAGATATCAATAAACATAAACACTTACACATAGTTCTTCTCAACTTCGCTTAGATCACCTTTTTCCTCCTTTGGCTGGTCGTCCACAACAACATCTCTTGCTGCATTTGTGCGCACCCGGCAAATTTCTTGCGGACCCACTTTTTTATGCAAGGCTACACAAGCATCGTCCTCGGGGTCAATGGACATGAAGTGTCCCGTTTCTGACAACAAGGCCATTTGCTTGTTCTAAATATATGAGAACAAAAAATAAATAAATATATATTAATATTTAAACTTGTCTGTGCTTACCTCGAAGACAGGCTCCCATTGCTCCATGCTGCCAACTGCTTCTGAACGGCCAGTTACCATTCCGTCCTTTTCAATTTTCAGATATTTCCCGTAGCCCGATTTAAAAGAGACCTTGCGGTCGTTAATTGGAAATGCGGTAAATATTTCTTCCGGATCAGGGCCTTCACCTGGATTGTGTGGCGCGCCTAAAGTAAATAAACTATTCATATTGATAATTTATTAGGTTACCTTTTGGTTAATAACAAAAACACCTACCCATTGTCTAGGGCTTTCAGATAGCAACGATCGCCAAATTCAATGGCCACTGATCCAACGATGTTGGCGGTTGTTGTTGCTGTCCACCACCCAGCATGTTGAATAGTATCCTCATCTGCAACCGTTTTGCTACGTTTGGGTGCATCTTCATCCTTGTGCTCCTTTTCCTTCTTACGCTTCTTACTTTTCCTATAAACAAACTCAATTTTAAAACTTGAATACGCTAATTTTTTTGGAATATACTTACTTGTGTTTTTCTCCTTTCAAAACTAACTTTTTTATACGCACTTGATCATAATCAGACATTATGTACTGTCAGCTTTAGATTATCAACAATATTTTGTTTAATAACTTTTAGTAAACACTTCTTTCCTGCCAGCTGCTCTATTTACAAAAGTGAAATGCAAGGCAGCGTTGATTCAATATCACAAGTTTCGATTTAAAAATGTATCGATACTATCGATGATGGGCATTTTTTTTATTTACCGAACTTTACCCGTTTGACCATCACCCGCGTAAATTCAATTTGTATTTATAAGTAAAACCCCAAATATTTTTTGTGGTACTTTGAATGCATTTAATATATAATACATACATATTTTATTAAATAAATTTTATAATATATTGGGGGGTCGCATACAATTTAAAGCAGTAAGCTCTAATATAAATAAATCATACATAATAACAAAAATATAACGTATAAATTAAAACATAATCACGCTTAATACAAGTTTATGTGTAAGCATTTCATATTATGGAAAAAGGAAGAATGCTGCAGTCAAGATATTTTTATGTAAGGAGACTCTACACCCAAAGTGCAAGTAATACAAACTAAATGTCTTTTTATTGAACATTTCATCTCAAGTGTTCAATAGTCAATGTTTGTAATATATCATTATTGAGTGTAGAGTATCGCTATAAATACTGAAATCGGAATGAGATCGTTACATATACCCCTCCAGGGATAAGTGTTGCCATTGGCCCTGTAAATAATTTTACAAATTTAAAAATGTTTTAAAGATATTCAACATTTTCATATGTACCGCGATTCCTAGACTCCAACCAGCTCCAGCTGGATTCTCATTAGTTATTCCACATCGTCGGCATATGACGCCATTTAGGGAAATCGCCCACACTTCCTTGCCGACGGACACGGAACGAAAGCCGCAGTGGGTCTCTGTGTGTGGCGGAACATTGGCAGAGTTTGGGAGAAATTGCCAATGTGAGCCCTCCGGGAATGTGCGCGTTACTTCCTTACGCACTGCTAAACGCTGTTTGTTATCCAATGCCCAGATGCCRGCACGACCTACGCTRATGACTTTGAAGGTAACGCCAGACGGTGCTTCGACCTGCTGCCAGGCGTCACCACAAGGGTTCACCTTGCTGATGCCATATCTGAAGAAGATCATGCCATTGCGAGCAACTGCCCAGACCTGTCCAGTGGGTCCCACACTAATCCCAACCAGCGGCTGATCGCTTACAATATGCTCCCAGGTATCTCCGCGAGGATTTAGTGTGGAAACGCCATGACGGATCAAGACATCGCCATTCGAGGCAATGGCCCATGCAGCAACAGGCATATCCTCTACGTTCAGTGCACTGTCCACATCACTGTCCAGGACCTGCAGTGAGGCATCTAGTATTTTGGAATGACTTAGCTCCTGCCAAGGGCCACTGCTGGTGAGTCGACATTTCTTCATCCAACGCCGTCGGCGCACGCAATCCGTTAGCTTCTTTTGTGCATGATAGGTGGCTGGAAAATCGATTGCATACTGCCAGCCTTCCTTGTCCGMTCCGCCGGGTATATTGTAGTCGATGGCCCAATCGGATATCCATTCGCAGTGTGTGGACAGCAGCTTGGTGTGCTCCTTACTACGYTTCTGTCGCCCAGTCGCATCGCTCCACATGTGTCGATCCGTGGGCAGGCTCTTGGCAGTGAAGCCACTGATGGGATTCCAGCGCTGATTCTCATACACGTAGTAGGTGTGCGTGTCAATCATTGCGTTTATCTTGCCCGACCCTTCCAGCCCCTTCAGGAACATACCGCCCCAGCCGCCGTTGTACGCCCAAGCGGTATTATCGCAGGATATGCCCCAGACGACATCCACTCCACTGTTATACACTCGCTTCAGATGGCCGCCTATCTGCCGCCAGTGCAATTGCTGCATAGATAAAATCACCGACGGCGAACGATAGATGACACTAAATAGCTTCACTCGCCCACTGACATAGAGACAGGTAACCGCCGCCGGATCCGTGCGGTATTTGTAATCGGCATAGAGTTCATTGTTCACAACAATCTGATATTGATTTTGAAGAGCCCTATAAAAATGTTAACAATCGGGTATTAAATGATAAGTGTGCCAGACTGATAAGTGTTGAAGCTCACCTGATTTTCACAGTGAAGCTCGCACCAGGCGCAAACACCATGCGATCATTGCGTACTTCATCCAGCCACTCGGAATCAATCATAGAGTTGAGCACGGTGGTGCGCTCATTGAAGCGCGGATTCAAATGCATCGCTATGACACGATATTTCTCCACACGATGGGAGAGCGCTTTAATACTAGAATGACACTGTAAATCAAA